GGCTGAAAAAATTGAAGGACGGGTGCTAGCGCTGTCCCAGTGCCACAGGGACCTTGCCCTCCCACCAGTCTGCCAGCAGCTCTCGGGGACAGGGCCCACGGCCGTGGGGGGCTGCGGGTTGGGGGGAAGGTCTGTGAGGGGTCCTGCTCCCTGTTTTTTGGGTTGTGTCTGAGCTGTGCTCTGGCATGTGGGGTGGCATTGGCATCCCCCGTGCTGAAGGCAGCTGCGTGCTCCCGCTCCAGTGGTGGTGACCGGCAGATGTGGGGACACACTTGTCCCTCTGGCAGGTGTTATGGGGGGGCAGAGCCTCTCCCTGTGCTGAGGGCAATTGAAGGCAGGGAAAAGCGTCGCAGCTGTCCGGTGAGGTGGGTGGGCTCTGTCTGCGAAGGGTGTCAGGACTCAGCCCAAGACAGAGCCAGTCTGACCCCCAGTGGGTGTCCCCAAGGTGCCACCACCCCACATCTAAATCCTGCCTGTCCCTGTGGAGGCCTTGATGGGGGTCCCTCCCAGCTCTCAGCCCTCCAGGGGACAAGCCATCTGACCCCAGGCCACCCACTCCCTCTCAGGACATTTAACCCCTTCACCACCGCCAGCCCAACACTGTTCCATGGGACAGAGGCTGTGAGCCCCATGTGCGGGGCCAGCAGGATTTTGGGGCTCCCTCAGACCCCTGGACTGTCACCGCTGTGCCCGTGGGACACAGGGCGGCTCCACACTGCTGCCCTGCCAGGGCAAGGAGACACTGAGCCCAGCGTGAGCTTAAAAAAATAGGCATTTTTATTCCAATGTAACTAGAGAATTCCGACCCAGGAGAGGAGAGGATTACTCACATTTATCGATAGGCTGATTAGATTACTGCCTACAGCGCTGTGCTTTAGCAGCGTGCTTGTCCGCCTCAAGGAGAAGCAGCGGAGGAGGGTGGTGCATCGGGGACCTCGTCATCCTTGGTGGTACGGGTGGCTCTGAGCGACGCAGAACGGGGCACCGGATGGCATCGCCTCATCCTGCCTTGGCTATTTACAGCTTCTCAGGAGGCAAAAGCTTGTAACGTTTGCTTGGCTGCATGGCTGGTCGGGTGCTGAGCTCCGTGGACACCTTTGGGGAGGGGGCGTGTGCCCCCTTGCAATGGGGGTTCATGCTGCCCCTGCTCCCAGCCACGGCATGCTGATGGGGACGGGCACGGGCTGGGAGAGGACGGTGGCACCGCCATCCCCGGAGCCCTGGTGTGAACGAGGACAGTGCCCCGCTCGTCACGGCTGTTCCTTGGCCTGGGGGGGGTCCATGGTGGTGGTGCCAGGTTGGGTCTCGCGTGCCTGGGGCTATGGCAAGGCCCCCAGCCCCTGTGTCACCATGAGGGGGTTTGGCCACCCGAAGAAAGCGGGGGTTTCGCAGGCGTGCTGGGTTCATCAGCATTACCCTTGCGCTAAACGAGGCCATTGCCAGTGGCTTGCAGGAGGAGCTTTGCTGGGCACCAATGTGCCCCCAGCCCAAAACCCACCAGGGGCTTGTGGCTGAAGCAGTTGCCCGTCACGGGTCGCAGTCAAGCCAGGAACTGGGGGTACCTGAAAATCCTGCTGCAGAGGAGAACAGCTCTCAGGAGCCTCAGCTCTCCCCCCAGCTCCCTGCCCCCTGCCCTGCTATGACACGATGGGGGTGTCCGAAAAGACGGAGCTGATGGACTCCGAGTCCGACTTGAGCTGCAGGACCTTGGGGTGCTTGGTGTCAGGGAACTCCTCGCCGAGGGCCAGGCGGATCTTGCCGTTCTGTGTCTCCCTGACGGGCTCGAGGAAGACGACGTGCTTGTTGGCGCTGACCTTGCGGTTGGGCGCGTCGGTGGCCGGGGGGGTGGTGCTGAGGATGGAGGACTGGGCGCTGCACTCCTGCCGGGGGCTGAGAGGAGCCGGCTTCTTGCAGCAGCTCAGGCAGCGGCAGGGTGTCAGGTACAGGTACACGAGGACGAGCAGCAGGCTCACGATGCACCCCAGCAGCGTCGTGAACCCGGTGTTGAAGGTCTCCCCGTCCAGCTTGGGGTACTGGACCGTCACGTTGACTTCGCACAGCCGGCTGAAATTGTGGGGGCTGTTGATGGCCAAGCCCACGTAGACCCCCGAGTGCCAGGGCTTGGCTGCGGCGATGCGCAGGCTGCCGTTGCGGTACACCTCCAGGGAGCGGTTGCTGTTGCCTGGGTGTTTGATGGGCTCGTGGTGGGGGGAGATCCACATGTACGTGGTGGCAGCCGGCCGGCGCCCTGCCGTTGCAAGCGAGCAGGAGGGTCTGGCCCACCATGGCGCGGAAGGACACGGGATGCGGGGCTTCGGGGCCCGCAGAGCAGTTCTCGAACATGTGGCTGTATTTGAGGAACTTGATCAGGGACCGGGGCACGTTGTCGGACACTTTGCAGGTGTGTTCCTCGAAGAAATCCCTCACAGAGCTGAAACCTTGCTGCTTCCAGTGCTGGAGCATCAGGTAGAGTGGGCAGCTGCACTTCACAGGGTTGTTGTGCAGGTACAAACCGTTGCGGACGTTTTCGGGCAGAGCCGCCAGCTCCTCCACGGGGATGCTGTGCAGGCTGTTGGAGGAGAGGTCCAGAGTGCGCAGGCTGTAGCCGCCCAGCCCCTGCACCGCGTGGAAGGGGAAGGAGGTGAGGTTGTTCCAGCTCAGGTAGACTTTCCGAAGCCCGCTCAGCTTGGTGAAGGCGTTCTCATCCACCCGCGCGATCCGGTTGTTGTAGAGCAGCAGCTCCTCCAAGCTGACCAGCGCGTCGAAGTAGTGCCTCTCGACGGCGCGCAGGTGGTTGGAGGACATGTCGAGGTGGCGCAGGTAAGAGGCATTGTGGAAAGCCTGTGGAGAAAGCTCCTTAATCTGGTTGTGGCTGATGTGGAGAGCCTCCAGGTGCGGGAGGGCGGCCAGCCAGCGGTCCTGGAGCTGGGTGAGGGCATTGTGGCTGAGGTCCAGCGTGGTGGTGGTGGGTGGCAGCTCCCGGGGCAC